GAAAGCATTGCTGGGCTCTGCCCCGGAGTTTCTGATTCGGTAGATCTGAAGTGAGGTCTGAGAATGTGAATTTCTAACAGGTTCCTGGAGACCACACTTTGAAAAATCACAAGTGTAACGTTTAAGAAGAAATATCTCTAAGACCCAGCTTCACTATTCACTAGGCAGGTGATCACTAGGGTCGTTTCATCAAACTTTTGTGCTATAGCTTCCCCATCTACAAAATGGGGATGATAACAAGACCCATCTCATAGGTTTGTCTCCTACTTCAATCAGGTATTGTCCATAAAAACACCTGACACTGCCTGGCATGATCAAGTTTCCAATAAAGGTTAACTATTACTATGAGCTGGCTTTTCGAGACATGCATCCACTTAAATATATATTTAACATTAAAATAATAGCTATTAGCAATAGAAGCGTATTCCTCATGCTTAATACTTCCTTCTCAGCAGGGAGAGCGCCATTACTGCCACTATCTTAGCCTCTCAGCCCAGGGGAGTAAGAGTGATAGATCCTCCTGGTGAGTTGGGAGAGACGTCTGGTCCACTTGAGTAACTGCTCTGCTCTTTTTTAAAACTTGGAACCAGGATGTTCACAGAAACCATCAGTTCTACTGCTCCTAGGAGTAACAATAGAAAGTCATGGCTGTGGTCATCTGCTGCTGCCTGTTTCTGGGGAAAAAAATATGGCGGACTCTGAAAAGCTTACTTGCCGAGATATTTAAGCCACACTCTGCAATATTAAGTGTATTATTAGAATACGTGGCAGATTGATCCATGTTTGCCTTATTTGTCACTTCTTTAGAACTCAGGCTGAGAGAAAGAATGCTATTTTTTGGAACCCTTCAGATCCAATATGAAGTTGAGCCTTGAGCTATGTAGTATTTTGGCCTGGGCAGCTTGCTAAGGTGTATAGAGGTGTGCTTTTATTCAGACTGCACTGGTCTTAATCACGTCTGGGGCATTCGAAAGCTGAGAAAATACTGTTTTGTTTTGTTTTGTTTTTGAACTATGGCATCACAGAGCCCTCTGGATCAAACCTCTTGCCCCTAGTGGACCCAGGAAGTTATCTCCAGGGGCTGTTGCTGCAGAGGAGCAGCTTTGCCAAGGTAGGAATAAAACTGGATACACAGCTGATAACCTCTTCCTAGGGCCCAGTCAGACTTCTGGTTGACCATGGCCCTATCGGTTAAGCCTAAAGGATTAAGTTAAAATCATACAACACAGGCTTCCTAATACTTAACCTGAGAGTTAAGCAGACTCACCCTCTGAGTCACAGAGAACACTGGACCGCCACAGACCTCCCCACGCAGGGATGCGTTTCTGTGAAATAACAACATAGGAGAACAGAGCCAAGTGTAATCTCGAGAGTACTAACAGAGGGAAGAAAGGCTGAGTTCTTCTTCTAAATTCTAACAAGCTGTGTCACCAATCCTCATGACAGGAAAAGTCAGTGAGAGGATGGAACACTGCCAGGAAGGTTACTCTAACAGACCTCCCTCCACGTGGAAGGAAACATCGAGGGGGGAGAATATGATTTCTTCCCGCAGCCTTCACTGTGTTGTGCTATTAAATAAGACCCACATTTTAACCCTCGCTCCTCATCTTTGACCTTAGGGAGTTGCTCAACCCTCAGACTCATTGTTTCTTCATCTGCCAAATGCTCGTGTCATAGGACTGTTGGGAAAGGGGGAAAAGATGGTAACCATTTATTAAATATTTCTTACATTCCAGGTGCTGTGATGAGAACTTTATACACACTGAGTTGTTAATCCTTCTAATCCTATAAGACTGGTGGTATCAGTCCAATCTTACTGAGGACAAGGTTGAGGCTGAGAAAACTTAAATACCTTGCCCAACTCCTGCATAGTTGTAAGACTCGGATTTGAGCACAGTTCTGTCTGGCAGCAAATTGCTGGACTTCACCATTTGACTCTTTGGACCACTCTGAGCTGGTACTTAAGAAAGCACTTAGCCAATTTCAGTAATTTAAATATTTCAAATGTTTTCCATTAGCCTTCTTTTCTCCAGGTGGAATATTCTCAGTTTTTTCACCTATTCTTTGATGAACTATCATTTCTCCATCCCATATCACTAGATTCACTGTCCTCATGAGGCAGCATAATTGTAATGTCCTGCTTAGAATATCTGGACAGGAACGAGAAGTCACATCCAAACGTGGCTAGGGTTGGAAACTCCATATTCTGCAATGCTTTGCCAGCTCGGCGTGTTTTTTTTTTCTGCCAGTTTCTGAACCCAGACAAGCTGAAGCTTTGTTATCATCCTACTCAATAGGCTTCAAGGGTCAGACATGCTGAAGCTTGTATTTGAAAGGAGTGTGAGTCAGTGTAGAATCTGACTCCAGCATCTTAAGAAATGTTCGTAAGGAGGACCTTGAAATGGGGGTGTGGTGACATGGCCCCTGACCACTTCACTTGCAAGGAAAAGCTACCATAACCTAAGTGTATTTCAGGTCTTCTGTGACCAGAGAGAGAAAGTGGTCAGTGTTTACTGGCTTGGAAGGACATGGACCCCCTTATCTACACAGCTGGACTGTAAAACAGAATTTCTAAGTCCTGAAGAGCAATGCATGGAGTCCCATCTGTTTATCTAGGATTTACTTTTTGCTGGCTAATGGCCCCTGAGCTGCATGTAGTGATAAGATTAACTAAAAGAGCCAGACATTGTTATTTTTTCAGATGTTAGAGCTTTTCGGGTTCTAAATGAACAGGGTGTTGCTAATGTTACTACCTTTTACTACCTTACTTTTCTACTTTCGGCCAAAACAAAATGAAAAGATGTTTTCTATTTCTGTAAGAATGATTTTCTCCAGTAACAGTTGTGAGAAAAAATTATGTGTGATAACAGCCACCTAGTATATTTTTATATTAAAATGTCATTCGAAACAGTTTGTAGCTGGGGGAGGGAAATGGCTCAGTGGTAAAGCACATGCTTAGCATGCATGAGGTCCTGGGTTCAATCCCCAGTACCTCCATTAAAAGAGAAAAAAGTTTGTAGTAGGTGACAATATAAATAGAGGGACTGAAAATGATGAGTTTTATTGAAGTAATTGGTTGAATGCTAAAGCAAAGGCAGCTCCTGTTTGAAAGATCTTGCTTTAAAACGTGCCTTTCCAGAGAGATTTGCCTTGAGCTCCCCAACTAAAGGAACATGCCAGGCACTCCTGGCTAGCTATTCAGTTTTATTTTCTTCATTCGAGTTTCTATCTGCTATTTCCTTGTTTGTATTTGCTGAGTGTCTCTCTCTCTCCTCCTCTGGAATGCAAATTCCAGACTGGATTTTACTATCACTGCGCATAGGACACGGCACAGAGCAAGCACACAGCATTTGTTGAATGAATAATTCCATTTTGAAAACGTTACATTGTTAACCGTTTACGCTAGGCTAGCCCACCAGTTTGTGTTCTTTTGATTTGTTTTTTGTTTTTGCTGTTGTTCAGTCCGCCAGCAGTGTGTTCTGTCCTCTCTCCTCCTCAGTGTAGATGTATTTGTTTGTGGATGTGATTCCAGTCGTTCTGAGTTACTGCGTTAGAACGGAGAGCATTTATCACACTTAACAGAACAGTGTTTGGTGTGAGGTGTATTATAACTGGGTTTTGCAAATAGCGCTTATGGATTTTTAAAGAAATAAATCAGTGTGGTTTTTTTTTCCCCCTTAAAGCGACACTCACTGACTTGTGTTTTCTTGAGTGGTAGAGAAAGTCATGGGCTGCCAGGACTCATTTCGAATTCTGGGCACCCAAAAGCAAGTGTGGTGACAAGAGAGACTGAGATCCCTTGCTCCAGAAGGAAGTTTATTTTATTTTATTATTTTGGGGGGTGGAGGGAGGTAATTAGGTTTATTTATTTATTTTTTAGCGGTACCGGGGATTGAACCCAGGACCTCATGCCTGCTAAACGTGCGTTCTACCCCTGAGCTATCCTCTCCCCATCAGAGGTAACTTTTGTATCAGCTGCCTGGGCTAAGAGGTGTGAGATTAAGAGGAGTGAGATTATGTTTTAGCCCTTGTTTCAGTTGAAGACAAACCAAGTGTAGACCGCATAGTAGGACCCCGCTGGATGCCTGTTAACTAGGTTAGGTGGAAGCATGTGATTGCATCTGATGGATGGGTGGGAAGCTCAGTGCCAGATACCCTGGGGGAGGTCAGCTGATACGGGTTAATCTGAGCAATAATGCCGGGCCTCCGACTACTTCTTGATGGTTTCATTTTACAACATGTATGGGCAGAGCAGGAGTCACTATCAAAGCTGGGAGGGTCTGGCACTAGGTGCTTAGAAAAATCATTGCATTGTTTATGTTTTAGGGGGTGGCGACTGAAGGGGAACAGTGTATTTCTTTGTGCCCTGGGAGTCACATGTCTTTATCCTTTGGCCTTGATTTGGTCATAAAATATGTTTTCTTTAAAGGAAGAATTTATAGAAAAATATGTTCATGTTGAATAATTTTAGGATTGATTTGTTATTTATACATTTCTTTCTAATTGTGTTATTTTTTTCTTTTTACATTGCAAAAGAAATAGATCCTGGCTATGAAATCCAAACTATCACTGGGGACAATGAACGTTACCAAGTCATATGTCATGACAAAATGGTTTATCAGTCACAGTTAAAATAATCCAGGGGTTGGTAAACATATTCTGACTTGTTCTTGTGAAAGATTCACTTCTTCTCTTTAGTTCTCTTTGGGGTGAGGGGGGAGAAAGGTAATTGGGTTTACTTATTTATTTACTTTTAAGTTTTTTTAGAAGAGGTACTGGGGATTGAACCCAAGACCTTGTGCATGCTAAGCATGTGCTCTACCACATTGAGCTATACCTTCCCTGCTATTTCCAAAGTCCAAAATACTTAAAACATTGAAGTGCAAATACTTAAGTAGCATATGTACTTACACATCAAAAATCAAAAGCATTTAGGAGACCAGATATTTGCCTATGGGCTCAATAAAAGACATGAAGATATTTTGTTTTATAGTCACACATTTTATTACAAATTTCTTTTATGTTGTACCCAATAGAAAAGCAAGTTTGGAATCTATTTACAAGTACTATACATTTACATATATTACATACAGGTAATGATTTAAAGAAAATGGGCAGAGAAACACAATATATATGGAAGAATATGCCACTGTACATGGTTTATTATCATGGTCTTTAGTGTTACTGAATCTTTACTGTGGTAATAAATACAGTTCTATATTTACACATCTTATAAAACATCTCATAAATGTATTTTTTTTCAATTCCAAGTTAAAACATCTGATCAAAATAAACATGCTTATATAAAAATAAATCTACCTAACAGTCTTTTGGTTCGGATGTATTGAAGCTAATGCAGTATAATAGAAGTTATGAATTTATCCTTTGACCTTTAGTATTTAATAATTTCTCCTCTTAAAATATCTAACACACGTATTAAATATGGAATAGGCAGAGAAGTCATCTTGACATCAAGTGGGTTGATCCAAAGACAACAGAGCTAAAACCAAGCTAAATAAACAGGATAATATGTCACCAAGTTTCTGCTGAGTCAAAGTGGTTTCAGACATCCATTTCTAGAGCTACTAACGAGCTACATGGGAGAAGTTATATCAGTGGATTTAATTTCTGTTGAGTCTGCATTTGATTATTACCTGATGATGCACATTGGTTTGAATCAACTGATAAAACCTCCTGCGAAACGTGTGCACTCGCCCAGGGGAAAAAAAATCCCAGGTTGCTTACCATCTCTTCTAAGTATGTCCATTGCCGGCAATGGACTTTTCTTCTGACCTCTGGACACCAAGGAATTAAAAATGAATTAGACAAGGCAAACCTCACCTGTACACGATTGCCTTCATGGCAATTGAAGAATTTAAGTTCATTTTCCTTTCAAAATATGTGTAAGCAGTTTTCTTCCACTGAGGCTGGAACCATCTAGTGCTGACACATAAACTCTAGCATCTCTAAAAATGAAGTGGATGTGAATGAATGAATAGTGCCTTATGTTATCCATTCACGGGGGGACTGGTGGCCAGGAAGGACCCTTTCTGAGGAAAGGAGTACTGAAACATCTCCACATGTTCATTAAAGTCAAATCCTATTGGTCACAACCATTACTTAGTAATATATGCCATTAAAAACCCTTATTTTCTTAATACCTCCAACCATCTTTTAAGGGGTTTTTGGGTTTTGTAAGCAAGGGTCCCCACCCCCCACAACCACCAGCAAATGACTAAATTGGTGAGTTGAAAAAGAATTCAAACTGAAATCACGGAGAATCTTTTTTGAACATTTCAATCCATTTAAAAAATATATTTTAGGCTTACCTGAATCATGTGACCGATCTACTGTAGCTGAACAAACTACATAAGCAGCATTTAGACTTATTTTTCACTCTCCAGTATCAATAATTCTCAGGTTTTTTTTTTTTTGACACAGAGATTTAAAAAAAAAATCAAGTTTCAACTCAGCTCTTTTTTACTTACTACTCTGATGTACTCAATCTCACATTTTTGGGTTTTCGATATTTGAAAACTTTTTCTCTTATGTATGAATTAGAGACATGGGACAAATGCCACAGATGAAAGATGACAGCTTTCTGTCACTGGATAAGCTGGTGGTGACCCGGAACTGGAAGGCAGGTCGTAGGCGATGCTGGCACTGGTGAAGCTTACCAAGGCCTGGGTTGAGTCGCAGGACTGTTTCTCAACATCATCAGAGTTAACAGACACCAGGCTGGTGTGTTTGGACCTCGTCCAGAAGTGGGTTTGCTTTCCCAGGCTCCCCAGATCCTCCTTAAAATGGGGATTGAGGAGGATGTAGAGAAGGGGGTTAAGACATGCGGGAAGGGGCACGATGACCAGAAGGATAAACATAACTACTTCCGGGCTGATGAACGTGAGGTTCAGCAAAGAAGCGAAGGACAAGAACGCCACGGGGCAGTAAAGGATACAGTTGGTGAAGAGCAGCAGAGCGATGTGCTTCACCATAGAACAGTCCCACATGTTCTCCAGGTCTCCCTTTTCCAGACTGCAGTAGAGCTTGGTGTAGGCGATGGTCATCACGAGGAAGCAAAGGGAATTGAGCAGGACGAGCGCCACCATGTAGCCCGCGGCGCTGGGCTCCCCGAAGGG